GCCTTCCTGCTCCTACGATGCTGCTTGGCCTGCTGTGTTCATCCAGCTCTACACCTTGTTATCTCAGATTCTCCAGCATCTGCAGTTCCTACTATCTCTGGTATATTGATATTGGCTCATTTATTCTGCTCAGCATGCAACGGGGAAGAAGAGCATAGCAAAAGAAGCTAAGGATACAGTTCAGCTTCCTGTGCCAGCTGGTTACAGATCAGCATTGGCAGTCATCACTTTTTTTTCCCTCACCTAATTTATGTGTCTATAAGAGATAAGCGTAAAATTGAAGTGCCTGCATCTGCGTGATGCTGTCTGTTTACCAGACTGATTTGTTAGTCCTTGGTTTCATGAGAATATTTTCAAAAGTTTTGTTTAATTTCTTGGCTGTGTATGTTAAATATTTGCTTTATCTGTGGTACAGTAATTGTAGAAAGCTGTTCTACTGCAGTGATCTAACAACTGGTAAATGTACTTCTGGCCATCCAACAGCTAAGCTCTTGATCTAAAGTTTAAACAACTATTGTGTGAGAATATTCAATAAATGTTGACACAATGTGAATCAAACATGATTTGTTGCACAAGTTTGCAGAATTCACTGACATATAGCATTCATAATTGCCCTGGAAATCTGAAAGAAGGCAGTTAACCAATAAAATAAGTTGATTGTCAGAATGACTAAAATTATTATCATGTTTACTGAAAGAAATGAGGATACTCAAGAGTGATAAGAAAGATGTCATTTACTCTATGCCAGATATTCAAAGCGTTCAATTCAAATACATTTATTTTGTGTCAAAGAATTTACATGTATACGATACTATTAACAGATTCAGGAAGACTCAATGATTTTCATAGCTGTAATGTAGGAAAATAACCAAAGGCTTTAATTAGGCAATGTAAATAATAAAGTGATAATTTAGTGCTTTTAAAAATACAGATGATACATCAGAATTATAATCATTTTTGAGTTGTGGAAAGTAAACTTCTCATTATTGCAAAGCAAAACAGGGTATGTGAGAGGATGTTTTTACCTCTATATTTGACTTATCCCACACCCAGGTCATTTAGTTATCATATTGAGTGCCAGATTTTCAAGTGGAAGTGAATAATTGAGTGCTTATGTAACCCTATCATTTTTAAATATGTTTTGACAGAAAATGATGAAGGACAATAATTTGGTCAGACACTTGGATGCCTGTGAAACTATGGGCAATGCTACAGCTATTTGCTCAGATAAAACGGGTACACTCACCATGAACAGGATGACTGTAGTACAATCATATATTGGAGAAACACACTACAGGCAAATACCTGCCCCAGATGCACTTTTACCAAAAGTTTTGGAACGGATCGTAAATGGAATTGCCATCAACTCTGCTTATACTACCAAAATACTGGTGAGCTAGAATTTGGGAGAAATTCTTCACGTTTCTATCATTTTTCCAGGTTTAGGAAAGATGATGTGTTACGACTTAATTTCTGAATGGTCATGACTGTAAACATGCTTGTGTTTAAGAAACATTGAATGTTTTCCAAAGTTGAGTAACTGTTCCTCACATTAAAAAAAATGCCCTTTTGTGATAATATCTGCATCTAGTTCACTTTTCTGTTGTACACAGTATAAACAGAAGTCTTTTATCAGTCCAGTTTCTAATTTTCCAAGATTTTGAATGTTTTAAGATGCGTTGGAAAGTTTCCTCCTGAATATCCACTGCACTGAAGTTGTATATTTTAGTTAAGATGTTTATACTTCTGGAAAGGAAGAAATGATTAATGGCTTTCCACAGTACACATTGATAAATAGAGATGTTGCACAGCTTGATTTCTGCAAAGTTTTATCGTGTTCTTAGTGCATGTGGCTAATATTGACAGGGAATGTTAACTACATTTTGCAATTGACTTTTTTTTTTGATTTGTCCCATCATTCCCTAGCCCCCTGAGAAAGAAGGAGGCCTTCCTCGCCATGTAGGGAACAAGACTGAATGTGCTTTGCTTGGCTTTGTGCTGGATCTGAAGCAAGATTATCAGGCTATACGCAATGAAATTCCAGAAGAGAAGCTGTATAAGGTGTATACCTTCAACTCTGCACGCAAATCCATGAGCACTGTACTAAAGAATGTTGATGGGAGTTTTCGCATGTACAGCAAGGGGGCCTCTGAGATCCTTCTACGCAAGTGAGCAAGTTTTTTTAGCTTTTTTTTTTGCAATTCATCAAGTTATGTAACTTTTATCGTTGGGAATGAGAATGAAAGGGAATTTCCAACTTCAGTTGGCAGTAAAAGGGTCGTCATCTTCAAAGCTTGGGAAGCAATCTGCTCTGAACGGATATTGGTTTGCAATTAAATTGTATGCAGGAGCATTCAGCAATGATTTCTGATGCTGTATGGCATGTATTTCTGTCATAAGCATATTTAAATTAAAGGATTATTTGACTTATCCCACACCCAGATCATTTAGTTATCATATTGAGTGCCAGATTTTCAAGTGAAAGTGAATAATTGAGTGCTTATGTAACCCTATCATTTTTAAATATGTTTTGACAGAAAATGAAGAAGGACAATAATTTGGTCAGAGATTAAAGAGATTATATAGATTTTTCTTCCTGTTGTCTTTGTCTCAAAATAGTTGGCGAATTGTTTCCAAACCATATACTAGTTACCATGAAAAGTAGAAAAATAGATTCAAACAACTTTTTCCATTCTTGGGCATTATTTTATTTCCAGAGCGCCAATGCTGTCATTAAACTTACCAATGCGAAACAAGAACTGTTTGACCATCAGTGGAATTATTCAGTTTAGTGTTCCTCTGCTTGTGCGACCTCCTTCTGAAGCTGAAACTGATAGTTAAATGGGTTTCATGACTGAGAAATAGTTAGAGCTTTTTTTTTTTATTTTGGCTAAGCAGTGAAAGTACGTAAAGAACTTCTGATTCTTGCAAGTCATAGAATCCCTACAGTGTGGAAACAGGCCATTCGGCCCAACAAGTCCATACCGCCCCTCCAAAGAGCATCCCACCCAGACCCATTATCCTACACCTGATTTCCCATCTCTAACCCACCTAACCCAAACATCTCTGGGCGCTACGGGCTTTTTAGCATGGCCAATCCACCTAGCCTGCACATCTTTGGACCGTGGGTGGAAACCGGAGCACCCGGAGGAAACCCACGCAGACACTGGGAGAACGTGCAGACTCCACACAGACAGTCACGAGAGGCTGGAATCGAACCTGGGTCCCTAGCGCTGTGAGGCAGCAGTGCTAACCACTGAGCCACCATGCCACCCTTGTATTTCATTCTGTTAGAGATAAAGCAAGGGGAGAATGAGAAGGAAAGAGGGACAAAGTGAATGACAAGATGGCAATTTGCCCACAAACTACAACTGGAGTGTGTGACTTGTCAAGAAGATGGTATACTGGTGACGCTCATAACAGTACAAATTTGGAAAGAAATGGGTTGGGCAGTGTACAGGGGTCGTAAAGATACAATATGCTGTTATGATCAAGGCAGAGATTTCATCTTACAAATTGCACTATCCAGTCTATTCAGTAAACTTTTTTTAGGAACCAAATCAAAAGGAAAATATTGTAGATACTGAAAGTCTCCAACAAAACAAAGTGCTGGAGAAATTCAAGTCACACGGTATCTACAGAGAGAAAGGGTTAACGTTCCCAGGCCAATATGACTCTTATTTGGAGCTATTTTTATGTCAGTTCTAAGGGAATCAGCTTTTATATTTTTTTGCCTTCAAGTTTACATCTCTCTGTTCTTAAGTGTATCACTGATCTCAATCTGAGTAACCAGTAAAGTGTTGATGAAGTTGTTGTTCAATATTGCCAATTTTGGGAACAATCTATTTTCAAGCCAAGATTCAAGTTTAGAATTCAGGCATTTTTAGGATTACATATTCTTTTCTTTGTATATATTTGACTGTTATCTTCAGTTAAGTTATTGAATTAGACTTCCATTAAATGTTATGCTGAAGCAAATGTTTACTCATGAGCAAAGCTATTTTTTAGAGCTATGAAAAGCAAAATGGGGCTTGTTATGCTGACTGTAGGGCAGAGCATTGCAATGAAAATTGCAGCGTTTCACTGCTGACAAAGTCCTTACTGTAGTCCATATATCTAGAGGAATTGTAGATATTTCCTCCTTGCACTTTGTTTAGGGGGTGGTCTGACGAAGCCAGGATTAGGGCAGAAAGTACTCTGTCAAGTGGAAAAGAGAGGAAATGTGGTTAATTTAACAAACTGAAAACTATGAAATCAAACTGTTTGTCAGCTGTCCTTCACTCGCGCAGATGATGATAGGGAAGTGAGTTTCTGCCATAGGTTTTCATGGAATTCTCAACCTACATCTTTGGACACATGGGGCACAAGAAAGGATCTTTCTATGTGTAGGATTTGCTTTATTTTCTTTCCATCTCTGTCATCACAGTTTTGTCATTATTAAGGTACCTGCACTCAAAGCATGATGTAGCTCGAGGCATATTATCACCATTCTGAAGGATTGGTAGCAAGCCCCTCCTAGTCATTAATGTCACTGTTGCTGTACTTGAGAGCGTCTTTGTAAGATTTTATCTCTCCTCTATTGAAATGCCATCCCTTTATCACCTATTTGCTGTGACTGAACCTTTTCTCTCAGCCTTGGTCAGCTCTGAGACCAACAGTAGCAAGCGAGGACACCAGGAATTCTTCCTCCTTCAGTCTGATTGAAGCATTTGACTCGGTAAATCATGAGGTACGTTGAATTGTACTCCCAAGAAACTCCTCACAATCCTGCAGCTGTCTCATGGTGATATGACTGCAACTACCTTGAGTGAGAGACCCGAATCAGGCACCTTCAAAATCCAGACTGCTGACAGTCAAGGCTGTGAGAGAGCCCCCGTGCAGTTGACAGTCTACCCTGTTGTAGCTATTCACCTCGTCGGAGATCAACTACCTTCCAGTCTGAATATTAAATTCTGCCGAGTTTGAAACTTCTTTAACCTCTGTTGCCTCTGTCCCAAAATTAAACTTGCGAGAGATGGTTATGACCTGTGGTTGGGTGATGAATGCCTTTTAACTTTTATTCATTTATTTGTGGAAAGCATGCTTTGCTGTCAAAGCAAGAGTTTATTTAACAACCAATGGTTTAAAGCTTATTCCTTCACAGCAGTAAAAAAGAATTAATTCAAGTGACTTTTGTAGCCCCTTTTGATTCAATTTGAAATATAGCTGTCCTATGCAAGGAAAACATCGGAGAGTATCTTACGCAAATTATTGACCAAATTCCTTCATTAGCAGTTTGCAAACATTAGCTTAGAGATTTTATCTAGCTGGGTATGTTGGGGAGATTTTTTTCGTATCAACCCGAGATGTTATTACTTGACTCTGGAGCAGGTAGGACTTGAACCCAGGCTTCCCAGACTCAACGTCTACGCTGCACTGCACTGCAAGAGTCCTGCAAGAGATGTATATTAAGGATCGTTGATTTGCTGTAGGTAAATCGTAGCCAGATTGTTGTTCACAGGTATTCCAATGCCAAGTCTCTACTACTATTGATAAATGAGATACTTCTTGCTTGCTTGCTAGCACTAGTATTGTCACTGCATTGTACCTGATAATTGTAGTATGCTTCTATCTGATTTCCTGAGGCTCAGTGATTTTGTTTTTAAAGAAGTAGCTAAGTATAGTAATGGCATGCAGCTCCAATAAAGGCAGATGAATCTGACTCCAGTTGCGTTGCAAATGTAATATTGTGGCCTCCTGCTTAGAAGTTTATAGTGGCCAGGTTTCAGATCTGTGGCATTTCTTCCTATTTGATAGATAAATCCTCTTTTGAACAATGGTGGATGTGGCGATGTTTGTGGTTTTTCCGTATCCTGTTTCAGATCTAGTCAGCTAATTATGTTCGCCACCTTGCATATGCATACTTGCCCAGCTCCCCAACACCCCAACCAATTCCCTTTCACCCCTCCCACTCACCAGCTCTCCCTGTTGACCACCAGTCCAACACAGTTTCTCCAGCCCATGCCTGGCGTTCATTCTTTGTCTTCTCCCTCTCCCCCACAACTTCCGCCCCCCCTCGCCATGGGTCAGCACTGCAAGAGTTCAGATTTTAGGAGGGCGAGGCTGGCTGCGTATCTCAATCAGCCTTGTCCATGTTCCATGTCAACATGACAGCAAACAAGAGAAGCAATATTTCTTTTCTGAGAAAGGGTCCCGACCCAAAACATCAGCTTTCCTGTTCCTCTGATACTGCCTGGCCTGCTGTGTTCCTCCAGCTCCACACTTTGTTATCTTTGACTCCAGTATTTCTTGCTTTCTCGCAGAAATGTTTCTGTTTCTTTTTGCTTTTGCCTCCTAATCTAAAGAATAGGGATGGGTCTTTATAACCTTGAGTGATCTGCTAACCTGGGAAATCCCTGCCCTGGAGGGTTTGACTCCATAGATAAGCTTGCTGAGCCAATTGAGAAGTCTGTGCTTCTAGATGTATTTTTACTAATTGCCTGACTAACCATCAGATAACATGCTGTGACACCCAAACTTTACCAACCAAACCATAGCAGGTGGACCGCTATGTCACTTGTAGTGCAAGCAAGCGTTTTGTACTCAAGGAATCGACTCTTGCTAGTAACTCACAAATGGACTTTATGGTGAAGTCTCCAGTTCAGATGTGCTTGTAACCACCTCCAGCCAGACTCATAGAATCCCTACAGTATGGAAGCAGGCCATTTGACCCATCGAATCCACACTGCCCCTCCAAAAAGCATCTCACCCAGACCCAACTCCCCTCCCCCCATAACCTGTCATTTCCTATGGCTAATCCACCGAGCCCACACTACGGGCAATTTAGCGTGGCCAATTCAGCTAACCTGCACATGTATGGACTGTGGGAGGAAACCCATGCAGACAAGGGGAGAATGCGCAAATTTCACACACAGTCGCCTGAGGGTGGAATTGAACCCAGGTCCCTGATGCTGTGAGGCAGCAATGCTAACCACTGAGCCACCATGCTGCTCTAATGCCAAAGAGTTAATGAGAACAATGTTAACATCTCAGCAGACTTCCTGCAGCAACTTGCTGCAGGATCAGAATTAAACACACTCTCATGTTTAATGCCAAGGACTTGTTTTAGAATTTAAACATAGTGTGTGAGTGTTAAAATAATACTTATAAAACCCCTGTTCTTCACTTCTTCCTCCCAGTCAGCCAAAGATATGGCTTGCAGTTCTTGATTGATTTGATGTCATAGCATTGTTACAATACCGAAGGTGGCCTTTCAGCCTGGTGAATCAGTACTGTACCATGTTCAACGATTGTGTTTGGCCATTTCTTTTTTTTTTTGAAAAGATGCTGCGCACTCCAAAGTTTGTGCATCTTATCCAAGCAAACGATTTAAAATATCTTTCAGGTGTACTAAAGTGCTAACTAAAACTGGAGATGTAACAGTATTCAAGGTAAGAGATCGTGACGAAATGGTGAAGAAAGTGATCGAACCAATGGCTTGTGAAGGTCTGCGCACCATCTGCCTGGCATACAGAGACTTCGTTAAGGAACCTGAGTGGGATAATGAAAATGAGATTCTGAGTGACCTAACATGCATCACTGTTGTGGGAATTGAGGATCCAGTGCGACCAGAGGTAATGTTGATTTTAGAGAGTAAATAAGCGCAGTGTCTTTCAGACATTCTGATTGAAAAGGAGCTAAAAAGTGTATGTTCCTAACTTCTGAATTATTTCTTCCGATGTTTGTCATTGTGTAACTGGTCAGGTAGTTCACATTTGTTGCAGTTCTTAGCTTTAATTTTTTTTCCTTGTGGAATCCAAAATAGTTGAGAATCTCACTGATAATCCATAGAATCATAGAATCCCTACAGTGTGGAAACAGGCCCTTCAGCCCAACAAGTCCACATCGAACCTCAGAGCATCCCCCCCATAACCCACCTACACATCCTCAAACACTATGGGCAATTTAGCATGGCCAACCCCCTAACCTGCACATCTTTGGACTGTGGGAGGAAACCGGAGCACCCGGAGGAAACCCACGCAGACACAGGGCGAATGTGAAAACTGCACACAGACAGTTGCCCAAGGGTGGAATCGAACCCAGGTCCCTTGCGCTGTGAGGCAGCAGTGCTAACCACTGAGCCGCCGTGCTGTCCCCATGCCCACCATGCTGTCCTGAGATAATCGATTTATCCTGTTTCCTGGATTGATGTCAATTTCAATTGTCTAATGTTAGGATGGCCTACCTATGTTGGAGCTTTATAATCAGTCTATAAGAACAGAAATATAGAAACATATATGTTGTGGTGCATTGTCTCGATGCTGTGGTTGCTATGTAAAATTTACAACAGAAAATCATTAATATTGTTTTGTTTTCTGGTCATTTTTACCTTGGGGAATTTTTTTAAATAGTAGTGATAATCATGTAAAGTTCTCTCATTTACCATCTAATTAGCTTGTGGTGTATTCGTGAATGCAGTTTGTAATAATAACCATTCTTTAGGTGCAGTAGCTTTATATCTTTGTGCATTAACACAGGAGCCATGGAAACTTTGTAACTTGAGATAGTTGAGCTTCACTCAAACGTGGAATCCAGAAGGAAATCGTCTGATATTTCATGAGGACAACCAATCAGAGTTGATGTGGAGTTGTATTTTCCTTTAATGATCCCTTCATTTAAGAAAATTCTTTGCAGATCTTTTAACCATGCCATGTAAATAGTTTTCCTGTCAAGCAAAGACATTTTTGCGGAAAAGTGGTCACTGCAGCACTGCTGTCTCATTCTACCAGCTGTTGGGCTGTGATATTCAAATAAAGCTACTGCTACTTGAGTTAGGAACAGTTTTTGCTGCTGCTTTAATAACTTGAGGTTACCCAGCAAGATGCAGAGAGAGCGTGATTTCAATTTGACAGCATGGTCTAGCAGGAAATTTTGCGATTTTAAATATTGCAGCACTGGAGGTGTGCAGCAACTGCTGGCAGAAATACACTGGTTGAAATGAGAAAATTTGCAAAATGTATTTGTGCCTGTTGAAGGGAAAAAGAAATTTTGTTAGAAGAATGATTTGCTGTGCCACTTCCTGTATGGGAGTCTGTTCGGGTGGATTTGTTTCAGGTGATTATGTTTAACAGGTACCCTTCTGCATGTTTGTGTACATTTGTTTACAATTGACAGTATTCACAAGGACTAGACACCTACAATTCAACTTCTCTGCACCAATATCTAGTCTTAACATTCAAAACTGTAGTGAGAACTGCAAATAAACCTCATTGCATTAAAATTATGCTATTTATTTTGTAATTTTATTAAGCTAGTACTCAGGGATGCAGCATTGTACCTATTGTCTTTTTTCTATCCAACTATGAAAAATGATCCTCTGAAATTGTAACACAGTTTTCTTTTTCATTAATGTATAAATAAATTGTGCTCAATTTTTTATTAAATACTGTTCACGCTTAGTAAAATTTGTAACTATTATTCTTGCTCCTGGCTTTAAATCATCATCTGTTGAACGACTACTCTTGTGTAACAGTTGTGTGCAGCCATAACTTGCGTTTTTAATGATGTATGTATTGTAATAAAACATCTCAAGGTGTTTTGCAGTGAAGTTATAATACAGTACAAAATATGATGCACAGCCCCAAAATATGGCCAAAGAGGAGGTTTTAAGCAACAACTTAAAGAAAGAAAAGGAAGTGAAAAGGTTTAGGGAGAGAATTCCAGAGCCTAGGACCAGGATAACTGAAGCCCCGGTGACTAGTGACTGGTGATTGGAGCAATTTTAAAATTGAGGATGCTCAAGAGGCAGAATTAGAGGAACACAAATATTCTCTGAAGTCAGTGGGGCTGGAGGAGACTCCAGACAGAGGCCTGCGTCTTTTGGAAACAAGCATGAGACACTTAAATCAAGGCACTGGATGACCGAGAGTTGGTATAGGTCGGCAGTCACTGGAATTGTGGTTAAACAGCATTTTGGCATGTAAGGACAAAGACAACAGAATTGGGATAATCCTGAGTTTGTGGAGGGCAGGCATGGGAGGTCAGTAGGTGTACATTGGAATAGTCAAGCCTCAATGTAACAATGGTATAAATAAGGAATTCAGCATCAAGTGAATTGACGCAGAACTGTTATAGAGGTCATATTGATGGTGCAGATATGTAGCCTCATCTTGGGGGTCCAATCTGATACAGAGGATGTGAAAAATTTGGCTCAGGCACAGAGATGGAATGAAGTGGTCGGGGAGCAGAGTTTGTGAAGGATGCATTTGGTGCACCAAAAACAGTGGTTTCAGTCTTCCCAATATTACGTTTTGATGTTTCAATAGCCATTGAATGTTCAGATAATACTAAAGATTGTCAAAACTTGTGCATGGCACGCAATATCAAAAATGAATTCAACATTGAGTATATTGTGGAAAATAATTGCATATTTGAGTCTTTGGAAGAAGGAACAGGAAAGAGGCAGAGCTAAAGTGGTCATTTTGTGATCCTGCGCTCTCCCAGGGAGAACTCTGCTCCAGGGAATCTGGGTTTCCTGCTGTGGGTACCTGACCATAGAACTGCACTTTAAATTGCCATCTTGATTTGAGTTTGTGATTTTTTTTTGCTTTGAAAGAGTCTTGAACAGCAGCGTTGGAATGCGCAAATTAGAAAAAAAAACTCCAAATGACAGTACAGTAAATAATAGCTTGACAGCCAGTGTTACTGTGGCAAATCATAGGCTTTTCAGTCTTGATTTAAATTTAGAAGGTACAGACTTGGAAGAACAGACACAGATTTCTTTAATTAGGTTGTAAAGTATATGGTGTCAACAACTAAAAGCAGAAAACAGTCTGTAAATTTAACGGGTGCAACAGTTCAAAGGATTCTGTGAGCTTTGAGTTTGTCTCCTGCTTTTGTTTCTTTATCATGCAAAGCTGCCCAGTGTCTGTATGTTGTTCTTCCTAATGGTTTGATCTACAGGCTGGTATCTGATTTTGCTCATTTCTGTAGTTCCTCTCTGTTTTATCTGTAGCCTTATTGCTTACTGTTCTTGTCACTCCAACTAGCCATTAATGTTCTAAACCTTTTCTTTCCTAAAAAAGGACTTTTGGTACACAGTAATTACCATAATTGTTTTGGAGTGCTTGGCTTTGTCAAAGTTAATACATTAAAACGTTTACTTTTATTTACAAGTAGGTAACTGAAAATTTTGGTGGCATTATTGTTTTAAATTCAGGTTCTTGCCCTAGTCATTTTAGATCACCTACCCTGGCCAACACACTTTCTACTCCTAGGCAGACGGTGTATACATCTTTCTTTTGTTGTTGACACTGGCTTCCGACATTAATTGCTGCGTCCCTCCTGATTATGGGAGAACTTTCTCACAGCTTGCTTTCTACACAGACCATATCATCAATGCAAAGGACTGAATGGCCTCTTTCTGCTCCTACGTTCTATTCAAGGAGATTCAAAGACTTTTTAATTTGATGTGAGGCAGCATGGGGTCACCTTTTCTCATTTTGTGCATTTTTTTTTCAACAAAGCCAATCTGAAGATGAGCAACTTTCTTTTTTAGGTTGCACGCGCCTTCGGAATTTTGCAGTGTTGTAATCTAGGTTTGATTTTTGTAATAGTGTGATCTGTCTAATCTGGTCTGTCCCAGTGTCTAGCACACCCAGATGCTTTTGTATTTCTACCATTTCTTAGCTATTTTTGAACAGCATGAAATTAGCATGGAAATCGATTGTTCAATCTAAAGGAAATCTTTTTTAGCAACTTCCTTTTTGAAAGTATATTATCATTGCTATTTTGTTGCTTTCACTGTGAAATCGAGAACCATTGAATGACTTCTGCAGTACATTGTTCATTTCTAGCCTCCCTGTTATAGGAAGGCCATTATTAACCTGGAGAGGGTTTTGGAAGAAATTTACCAGGATGTTACACGGAATGGAGGGTTTGAGTTATGGGGAGAGGCTGGATAGGCTGGGACTTCTTTCACTGGAGTGCAGGAGGTTAAGGGGTGACCATATAGAGGTTTATAAAATCATGAGGGGTATAGATGAGGTGAATGGGGGGTGTCTTTTCCCTAGGGTAGGGGATTTTGAAACTAGGGGACATATTTTTCAGGTGAGAGGAGAAAGATTTAAAAAGACATGAGGGGCAGCCTTACACTAAGAGTGGTTCATGTGTGGAATGAACTTCCAGGGGAAGTGGTGGGTGCAGGTGCAGTTAGTGTTTAAAGACATTTGGGAAAAGTACATGAAGAGAAAATATTTGGAGAGATATGGCCCACGTGCAGGCAGATGCAACTTGTTTAATTTGGGATCATGGTCATCTTGAACTGGTTAGACCGAAGGGTCTGTTTCCGTGCTCTGACTCTCTGATTAAAAGGCTGGATCCCTCCCTCCATTACAACATGACGTGATCTGTCTGACTGTTGTGCTTTGAGATATCCACACTTTACTGATTAATTACAATCCTCCACCATCTGTAAGTAATTGTTTTCAAACTTTGCAGTTATCCGTGAAGAAGCAAACCACCACCCGCCCCACCACCCATTTCCCCCTCCCTTGTTACCATTTCCAAATCTTTTATATTTAAAAGAAATGTAGAGGCACTCTTAGCCATAAATCTCTTTTGCACTAAGTTGAGG